ATACTCCTGAAGATTTCGTTAAGATTTCGGGAACTTTGGTTTGCAGGGTTGGAACGAATTTCCGTCATCGCTTGTCAAGCAGACGGAAAAATCAACCAACACCAACACACAAATTATTATTTCTTGAGTTTTATTTTTTGAGCAAAGATAATGTGTAAATATTATATAGTGTTATTTAAAAAAAGCAAAAGTGCGTTTTTAGTTTTCTCCTAGAGGTGAGAATTTTTTTAAAGGACTTTGAAAGCATTTTCTCTTTGATTCGGTACACCTACATATTTTCATTATACATTGCACTGAATAAAAAAAAAGTTTAAATTAATAACCTTTTTGAAATTTTAAAGTCTTAAAAAACATGACCACATTGAAAAAGACTAGAAACGCAGTTGTACTGTATTTGGCCCATAGTTTTGTGTGTTAACATTGACTGCTTCGTGTGTTTTAAATGTTTTTTTTTTTGGTTTTTGTCGCATGGAAAAATAAAACTCAATAATTTTTTATTTTTGAGCGAAAGAATAAAAATTATAAAGAAATCATCAAAAAAATATAAATGAAATTATAATAACTCCTGTTGAGCAAAAGAAAAATAAAACTCAGCGAAAATTATTATTTTTGAGCGAGGTAAATCATAGAAACGATTAAATGCTCATTTATGTTATTTTACTTGTAACGATTACCGTCACTGAAGGAAACTGCACACTAAGGCTAGACTTATTCTAGGCTTATGCTAATTCCCCATTAGTTCAGCCCAATCAAACTGTGCATCCTCATCTGTGAACCGCTTCAATCGGAGGATATTCAGTAACGTAAAAAAAAAATCCCATTTCCTTCAACTTATCGACTAAAATATTTAAAAGCGCTCTTCTTCTACCCGCTTATTGGCTCTTCAGCATTTGCCAGCAAAGCCGATAACAATATTACCTACAGTTTTAAGCCTTGCACTTGACATTGGGACAGCAGTTGCCAATTACATACATATAATGCATGAAGTTCTGATAAAGTTCGTTAATCAAGGACTTAACTGCCATACATATATGTGTGTATGTAACTATAAATTGTATACTATAGAACAATGAACTTTTAACGGCATTTTTATGCTGGCCATATGCTGGCAGATGACCATTAATATGGCCCTGATCTTTGCAGCATCTTACATTTTATTTCCCACCACGCAGTAGAAAATGGATACTCGTAGTTTTTATTGTTGCCGTTGCTTGCAATATGGTCGAATGCCGGTGTCAAAACCAGCCAAAGCTGTAGGATGCACCGGTTTGGTTGAGAGACAACTTTCGAAGTGCATTTCCTGCTCATTTCGCTTTTTATACAATTTTTTTTTTTGGTTTTTAATGATAGTCTCGGTGTTCTTTGTATTTTGTTACCGTTTCACTTTTGTTATAAGTCACCTTTGTTTGTTTCTCTTAACTTGCCATATATGTACGTCTTCAAGGATAACGCAAAATAATATGATTGGAATGATTTTCGAAAGTTGTAGAGCAAGCAAATAAAATGTAAATGATTTTACAGGAAAATTTTTACCACTAAGAGCCAATTAATTATGTATGTATGTAGGTATTAGCTTTATAGAGTGCGGAATATTTTTTTTTGGTGGCGGCAATATAGTAGAAAAATGGATTTCGCAGGTACCTATTTAAATACATATGTATGTAAAGTAAGAAGAGCAACTTTATTGAAGAAACTCAGCTTTATTATATGTATGCTTTCATCCGGGTTCAAGGTTTTATAAGTTCATAAGAGAATGAAGGACTTTAGTTTCTTGCATATGTACCTATATATGTGCACACATAAGTACATTAGGGCGGGTAAATTTATTTATGATTCTACGTGTAATTCTAAGCAAATTTCCCAAAGAAACCATGGATCTAAAATCAATTTGGAGTTTGCCAAATTGCGAAAATAGGTTTCGCAGAAAATGTGAAAATTTCCACTGTTGCGCCCTCTGGTGGAAGTTTTCAGAAAATATGAGCGCAAAAGTGGATTCCTCATACCAAAAATTTAAAATTTAAGCACTTTTTTACGACACTACAGCAAAATGATAAGAAACCTATTTTCGCAAATTGGCAAACTCCAAATTGATTTTAAACTCATTGTTTCTTCTGAAAATTTGCTTAGAATTACACATAGAATCCTTCTGTGCTTTACGCGCATGGTCGAAAAAATATCCCATACAAATTGACCCGCCCTAATGTACATATTTCTAGAATAAGTTCTTATATAATTTATTCTTGGTGTTTTTTATGGAGGTACATAATGGTTCTCTGCAATATTAATTCCCCATAATTACATTTTTATTGTAGTTCTTTGATTTGAGATTTGAGATTAGTTTATTTGTTATTTGAATAGATAGACATTTGTAGAACACGGAAGCAATGTATGCTCTGGTTTAAAATTTTTTTTTTTAAATCAAACCGACATAACGCTGAAGCAGTTATGAAGACGAAAGGTAATATAAAACTGCGGCATTACATGCCACTGCAGTCACCAATGCGCGTGGTCTCTAGGATTTGGATGAAGAGATTGAAGGGCTACAAAACTGCATACCCGAAATTTTTTTATGACATTTTTTTTTTCAATTTGTTAAAACTTAAAATCGAATTTCCACGTAGAGTATGCTAAATTTTCAAAAAAAAAAATTTGTAAATGTTAAAAATCACATGGGTATGCTATTAAAACGACTGAAGTGTACCTTTCTTTAAAGTGCTGTATATATCTTGGAAACTATTTAACGAAATTTACCCTGGCATTCAGTAAGCGGTCTCTAGTCACAAATAGTGACTTTTGGTGGTGAACCTGGATTTTGAGACTATTTGGTATTCAGTACGCTGTCTCGCGTCTCTAGTCTCAAAAAAAAAGTCACTAATTTGTCAGCTGGCTAAGAGTAGGTATCAAAAATAAAAATATGGATAAAAAGTTAATTGCTTTCCATTTTATTAAAAAAAACGCGAATATCAAGCGAGGAAATGTGTTCAATAAGAATTTTGTTAGGAGATACACCAAAATGCTTTAATATCATACAAATCCATTGTAAAAAATATTTTTTTTTTAACATTAAAAACTAAAGGTTATTCAAAAAATAAAACTAATAAAAAAAGAAAAATGTATTAAATAAAAAGAAAATAAAAAATCCCCTACGCCCGAGGAGTACTCGAACCCGGACCCTCTCGGCCGGCATCAGTTGACTGTCTGTGTTTGTTTTCACCACACATTTTTGGTGAACTTTTTGTGACTCTCTCCTACTAAATAGCCAAATCATCTCAAGTAACAAAAATTGTCAGTAATTGCTAATCTCAAATTTAGTGACTTGAGATGAGACTGAATTACTGAATCCCAGGGTTAATAAACACAAATATTTTTCTTCCGTCTTTTTATGGAATTCAAATTACGTATAATTTTAAACGCATGGGCAAGTTATCGTAAATTGAAAAGCATTTTCTTCTATCAAAATTTCTTAAATCAGTTTGCAGTCTCAAGTAAAAAATGCTCGTATATGTATTTATGTATGTATTTCTTCGAGATAATTTATCGAATTCTTGAAAATCAATATTTTTCGTTCGGAAAACCCTGGTTCTCATCATGAGACTTCCAATAACAATACCCATTTGTTTAGTTAACAAATTTTTAATACTAAAGATTTTTTATTTATTACCCCATTGTATTTTCTGGCATTTTCTGTAGGTTTTGGGGGAGCAATAAAATATAGTCACTATGGAAAACTTGTTAAATAAATAATTTGGTATGCTTATTGGGAATCTCCTGCAGAGCAACAAAAGTTTTCCGATGGAATTATATTGCTTCTCAAAAATTCTATGCCATTTCTACGAAAAGTGTTTTTCCCCCCATATAAAATACATGGGAAACTTTGAGCGCTTTGAGCGACCTCTAAGTATTTTTTGATTTCAAAATCAAAAATAGGGGTCATGTTTTTTCGGTAGAGCACAATCCTAGGGGATGAGAGCATAAAAATTCCGACTTTACTTTTTCACATGCATTTTTGGACCACCCTAATATACATACATACTAGACCGTTTCAAAACAAAAAACATCCTGCAATCCGACAGGACCCCGACGACAAGTTTGGTATTTGATAAGGTAATGAATCTCTCCTCTCTACGATTATTCTCTTTTGAGGTCAATACGATTTTCTAGAATCAATCAAAACTATAAGAAAATATGTACGTACATATGTATGTGTGTATGTATGTATTTATATGGGGGATTTATTTATACCACATTTAAAAAAGTTATCCATGCCTCACTCCTCGATTTTCTTTTACTATGCCTACATTGCTACGAACTGCGAAGAATCGCAGAAAACCGAGTCGATATAGCCAGAGTACGTATGTAGCGCGATAATTAAGGTAACTAGAATGAAAACTATCGTTCTAATAGTGCTAGGTATATTCTTGCCCCCTCCGACTTCAAATTTACATACAAATAATTTTGAGCGTTTTAGTTCATTTGTTTCATTTTTTGTAAGTATTTAGGTTTTTAATTTAATGTTTGTAAACTCACCTGGACGTTTGAAGGTTGTGCAGTTTTCAACAGAAATACTTTTGGCGAGCCTAATATACCGCGCTTTCTTTAGACGTTTTATAGTTTGCTCTGAGAGTAATTTTCGCTGTATCAATAGTATTAAGAATTATTTAATTTTTTATTTATTTAGCTTAGTACGTTCGCTCCGTTGATTACACTTTGCTTTTCAATCACTTTATTTAAATTGATCCTTTAAATCAATGTTTGCTCGCCTAAATGCGCACCTCAATGTGGTCAACTTCTGCTGCAGCTCAACCAGACATCTGCGCTTGCGCTTCAAAACTGTTCTGACTGTCCGGCAGAATCACTTTCATTTAAAGCGTGTTTGCGAAGGTTGTTACAGATTTCTGGCTGCGCCTCTGTTGCTATCACACGACGTCGCCTGTCCTGTCACGATTCTTGTTTCTGATAGCTTCTGGTTCCCTTTTCAAGTATGGAATATTTCCTTTGTGTTTTGTTTTTTTTTTTCAATTAGATTTTTATCACCGGTTTCAGAATTGACATGTAAGAAATCTATAAAAACAAACCAAAGTAAACTACAGTAGTTTCAGAATAAAAGGGAGACCTGCGACATAAGTATAGAAATACTAGGGATTCAACCACTAAACAGTAAAATACCGGTAGGTGATCGAAAGGTATGCTTGTTTTAGTCGAAAGCGCTGATGGATATACAAGTTATTAAATTTAATTGTTATTTTTTTTATTCTGTTATTTCTTTTTCTGACACTCACTAACTAGCTGACGTACTGTCTCACACTCTGTCGAAGTGACTAAGTTGTTTGGCACCTTTTGTTGATATTTTAACTAAATATATGAATCGGCTGACCAACAATCAGGCTAACGACCGAATGGAGGATCAAACTACTATTTAATAAGTGAACACATTGACTACTGGATGGGGACTGAAACTGAGCTGGTGTTTGGCGCGCGGTTAAACGTCGTCTCCGCTTTGTTATGCTTTATGCAGTTGACGGTGGCGTCATCAGCAGCAGCAAATTATCGGCTGATCTTTGCGCAACGATTAAGAACGAGAACGCAAACTTGCATATGCTCTGCTCACGGATGAAGTCTTACAACTTTTACATACATATGTATGCATGAATGTATGTACATACATACATATGTACATACATATATGTTGCGTGGCCGCCCACTAAGATTTGCAGCGCAGTCGACTTTCCGCCATGCGATGTTCTATGTTTCGTTGTAGGCGCAGCACAACAACACGATCGTATTCGCTTAAAGTTTAGTTTAGCTCGCTAAAATTTTTTTTTACAATTATGGGTATTCTCGAAATCTTGCAAAGCCCTTGCATGTGGCATGGATTGCATGGATTGCACAACTTGCAAACACCCAACAACAAAATACATGAGAAGCAGCATTTCCTATTGCCACAAAGTATGCAACGTCTGAATGCATGGGGCACATATTTTGCAAAAAAGCACAGTAGGATAAATGCGACACTGTCCTAGCTGTTTTAGAATACATTTTTCACCCGTTTGTTGTAGTCTCGTCTTGCTGGGTAGCATGATACAAAAAAGAAGGTAGTTTCATTGTCACCTTTCGGACACCATATTAACTACCTGACAATTAAGCAGATTGTGACATTTCGTGCTGCCATACCTGATTTATTTCTTGTGAAAAACTTATTTACAAAATTAAAAGAAAAAAATATGTCTTCGATCTGAGCAATAACGAAAATTCAAATTCATACATCACCATATTTGAATAACAACCAACCAACCACCGCAAAAATTAGTTATTATTTAAATTCGTTTGTTCTAAAGCCAATCAACGAAAAGCATTTGGATGTGCTTTGCAAACATTAGCCCCAGTAAGACTTTAATATCGGTACTTCATTATATGAAAGATAATATAGTTATGGACGATAGGAGGTACTCCCGATTGAACTGGCACCCAGTGTTTGGAAGTAACTAAGTAGTTAGAAGGCAGCCCAATGCCTTAAGTGCAGCTTGTCTGTCACCACAGACATGTAAACTCCTTCCCCCTGCCACCTATTTTCCACCACGTAGTCCATGGCCTTGACGATTGCAAATACCTCAGCCTGGAAGGTCGAAGCCTACTTCCCAAGAAAAAATTAATCTTACCCCCATTAACTCCGATGAAGACCTCAGATCCTGACATAGAGTCAGTTTTAGAGCCATCAGTGAAGATTCGTTTATGTGCTTCAAATTTGATTATCGAACATATCAACTTGCTATTTTTTTATGTAAATTTTACTCTTTTATTAAATCCAAAATATTTAAAAGAAAATTCCCCTTTCAACAAATTTTAATGTGGCAAAGCTATGCTTAATGTTTACATCTGTAGAAATGTCAAAAATTTGTTTTATAATAAAAAAATAGTAGTAATGAAACTACCTTCTTTTTTGTATCATGGCTGGGTAGCTTGCTTTCTGTTGCCAGTGTTGCCTTTTTTGCGTTTCTTTACGAGGCCTGCCGACTTGGTTCAATATGGCACCTAAGCTAGCATAGCTAAGGGTAGATGGCAGCCCTGTTTCCTACCGAAATTCTTAGTATTACTTCCTTTTCTTTTGCTCTGCTTCCTAATTATAGGCGCTCGTTAGGTTAGTCTTTCCCCAATTAGTATTAGGACAGGGTGTATAAGTGACACTGTACTGGAATCGGAGTTTGTATTTTTTTGTCAAGCAAGGTACACATACAGTGTGGCAGAGTCGCAAAAAGTTGATAAAAATATGTTTAACTTATAATGTAGTACCATCAGTATGTTAAACTTAATTCAGGAATACGAAAATGTCAATTTAAGGCATGATCCTGATTTGGAATCTGAATATAAAATGGTAATATTTAAGAGGGTTGCCACATTTCAAGGTTCAAAATCGATTCTGATAACAAGTCAAAAGAAATACCGGAATATTGAACCTAGTTAGGTACAAATCGATTAAGTGGCTACCGAGGTACACCTTTGTAGTTATAAAGTGGGCGGTACCACGCCCAATTCCCAAAAGTCTATAGCTGTCTTATTTATTGTTAGGATATTGTTGTAACTATTAATTTACTCCAAGTTAAGTGTCCTCAGTTAATGAAATATCGGAGTTTTCGCATTTCTGAAATTTACCGATATACGGGAAGCGGGTGTAATTTTAGTCCGATATGGTCATAAGAGGGCGGCGCCACGCCCATGATCTAAAACTTTATAATATTCTAGTTTTCTGCTAAGTGGTTATTGTAATCGTCGATCTTAAGTGAATTAGCTCCAGCAGTTACTGATTTATCGCAGTTTTCAGGTTTCTGTAAATTACCGTTATATGGCAGGTGGGTGTGGTTATTGCCCGATTTCAAAGATTTTCAACAGATTTCTTAGTTAGACCCTACCCAAGGCTCGTGTTGAGTTTAGTAAGGTTTGGTGAAGCGGGGTTATGCCCATTTTCGAAAAATTTCATAATAATATTACTTTTTACCACAATTTTAATCCACGTACTAATTTTCAACAATTTGCATCTAATATTTACTGAAATATCGTAGTTTTTGCACGGCCAGATGGACGGACGGACGGACAGACAGGCATGGCTTACTTAATCAATTTCTCTTTTCATTCTGAGCGGGGTTAATCAAACCGGACGTCGATTCTTTTAACCGAAAGTCCCTTCCAGAAAAAAGGTCTATTTTTTCGGAAAATTAATAAATTTAGTTCACATTATTTAATGCGTTAAATCAAATCGGTATCAATCGAAATGTTTTTGAGAAGGCTTTATTTCTTATCTACACGTGCCAGTTGGATTTAAGTAAATACATATGTACGTGGGCCTTTTCCAAGATCATCAACTGCCATTTAATAGCCAAAAACTGTGACATGCGTAACTGAATTTGATCTTCAACACAAGAAAAATGATCTAACATGAGTGAGAGTGGATGTGAGCCGTTTTGAAGTTAAACGAATGGCCATCAATCTTGCATATAAATGATCGATAATTTCAAATGTGCGAATTTCGCTAATGACCTTGACTCTAAATTTAAATGTAATTTTGGTGTAACCCCCAGAGAAAATAATGCATAATGAATCTTAAACAAAATATGGGCTATCGGTCATGGTCATCATGCTGCCAAATATTGCGGACTAGAACAACAAAAACACGTCCCTCTTTAACCTATTAATGTGTCTGTTGTTGCCTATACATATTTATACATACATACATACATATGTACTATGGTTTTATATCTAACTTATTCTATATCATCTGTGGTTATGTATGTATATTTATGAACTGCTTTCCTAAAATAGCGAACAGCATTATTTTAATGCTACATATGTATGTATGTATACAAAATTATATTTACATACCTATACAAAGAGGCTAAATACCAGCAACACCCACCTAATATTATGTAGTTTAATTGCCCAGAAATAGAATTTCGATGTTTACATATAATTTCGAACGCCCTCAAAGTCGAAGGTATTCTGGAAGGTTAGTAACCAAATATTTTTATATACATACATACATACATACATACACACCTACATACATATGTATGTACTACGCACATGATGATGCAGTGAAAACTCTCCTGAGCAAAAGCTCTCCAGTCCACTCTGATTGCCTGTGATTCGTTCGAATCGAGGAATAGATACAGTGGCCAAAATTGAAATTAGGACTCGACATTCAGTAAGTTTTTAATGTTTATTATTAATTTTATGAAAGTAAGGCTCTTTTCCTAACAAAAAACATATAATACCAAATTTCTAATTTTGTGCAAAAAAGTATGTATAAAAAATAACTCGGTAATGTTTCTCCAAAATTTCAAACTTTAGAAAAAAATTTGGTTTGCAGTTTTGTAACTCATTTAAATTGCGTATAATAAAGTGCGAGTGGAAAGTGCTGCTCATTTGCTTTTCTTTCAAAAAAAGCAAAAGGTCGAACATATGTACATACTTTGTATGAAAAAAATGTGTAACACTGTCAACAAAAAAAAGTTGCCAAAATTAGTGGTAAGCCTTACCGACTTAAAATTTCGCTTTATTATACTAAAATTTAAAGAATTTTTTTAATAAATTTCACGGGGTAAAAATCTCGAGAAAATTATCCTACAAATTTGTGATGTTACTATAAGGACACTTTTCTTCTTTCAGGGAAAACGGTGTGGAAAAAATTTTCAAAATTATTTTTTGTCCCGCATTCGGCTCGCATCAATATGGTCATCGTAGGCATAGATCGGAGCCCATTTGAGGTCGTTGTTTCATGATATAACGCGTCCAGTAACCACTTGTTGTCCAAGTCCATGTCACATAATTCAGAACATACAAAGTTTGTATTCATGTCGCGATAACGTTCACAGTAACAGCGATATCGCCAGTCCAAAAACCACACCAAACCAAAGACAAACATTAACGTGCCACGAATAATTGCTGCCAAAGATCTGCCACAGTCTCCAATAATCATAAAAAATGTCTCGGTTTATTTGACGCCATTACGCCATTACAAGAAAATCGTTAAGTTTTCGTACGTCAAAACTTGGAAGGAATTAGCAAAAGAGTGGAATTGGGAGAGCACAAATGCCAGCTCAGCATGTAAGTCTTACTGGATAAATTTTTACTACTCTGCCAGAATTTTATAATACATTTCTGAATTTTTATTTTTTCGAATTCTTATCCGCTCTCGGGAAGAACTGTTCCACCAAGATGTCACGTCTTTATGATATGAAGCAATTAAAATCTATTTCGATAGGAATGACAGTAGCTTGTACGATAAAGACTGAAGTGTTAAAGAAGACTCTTCTGTTGGTTGAATTTTTGAACGCACTTACATATGTATAAGTATTTTATGAAATTCCAACTAAACATTTTAAAAAGCAGTTCCAAAAATGTATGGCAAAAAGGCATTAACACAATAAGTCATAATGAGTTACTATCGCTTTGATAACTTCCAATAGTGACGAAGAAGTGACATCGGGGCCATAGGCGTTAAAATTCTGTTCCAATTGCTAGAAGGGTAATGACTATTTAAAAAAAAATGGTTTTTAAGTGATGAAGAAGATTTTTTGTTTGTATTAAGAATGTAAACAAAGGATGTAAAAAATGCCAGCGAAAACGCTAAGAGCCGAAGAACGTTTAAAACCAAATACGAAATGGGAAGAAAACCTTCGAGAGTGTTTCCACAAGATCGAATGTGGGAATTATATGAGAACAAAACACTGTGGAACGTTCACAAAGAGAATAAAATGCGAATAATACTTTCAGTAACATTACTAAGAAAACCAGCGTTAGAACCTTCCTAGAGTCCGACCGATTAATCAGCATCGGCATCGGCTAGTATTAGCACAAAATTGAGCATCGGCATCAGCCTTTTTCGCCGATTACGTGACACAGGCGCATTTGCTTTTTATAAAGTATGAAATTGAGATTATTTGGATATAAAATATTGTACAAGAATCTAACTCTGTATATTTCTAAAAGAAGTTAATATTTGAAAACGGCATAACTTTTATAACGCGGACGTTCCTCTCATTCTTAACGTT